TAGTTGGGATCTGGCTCTACCATTTGATGTATTGTGACAATGGCTAGCCGCCCCGTTGTTGTGTGCTTCGTGCCTTGAAGTTGCTTGATAGAATTCCTTGCTATTACTGGCTACTTTATTATTCCAGACTTTAAGTACAAGGAGATATTACTTGGATTTAAGTATATTATAGATACTTATCAAGGTTCTTATCTTACTAATATAGTTACTCAAGTACTTTATAGAAGCTTAATTAACTATTAAATCCTTGTAGTTACTACTGATAATGTCAGTAATAACTTAACCCTTATAGCTGAGCTATCCCGCATTCTTTACTAAGGTATTCAGGATTTCTGGTTATTTAGCTCTTCTATTTTTGACCAGAAGATTTATTCTCTACTTTTAATACCAATATATATTCCATGCCTAGCGCATATAATACAACTTTCTGTGTAAAGTCTTCTGAAAAAGATTAAGATAAATATAAAGAATAATAATATCCAGCTCTTATAAAATAATTCAGAGACTTAGTATATTAATAGTAAAGATTTACTCTCTACTCTTAAGAAGATATATCCTTATATTCTGTGTTTACTATAATTTAACTAAGTTAGATTAAGGTCTACAAAACTGTACAGTATATCAATGCTAGCCCACAATAACAAGAGATATTCTAAAAGATTCAGGCTAGCATTAATATAACTACTGTGCCAATTCTTTTACTCCTTGACTGTTACATGCGTTAAAATTCAATCTTTTTAATAATTTACTATGTTCTATATCTCCAGAATACTGTAGATACTTTTATGCATGATATATCAAGTATATCAGTCTGCTATTTTACTCTTACTGCCCAGTAATAGTGCCAGCTTAAATATCTTTATAAACTTCTTGCACTATTTTATCTTTTGATATTAGCTCTATCCTGCTAGCACAGCCTGTCAGCTCAGAGTATTTTTACTGTTTATAATACCCTTTTTACCTATCTGGAGCTCTCTATTAAGATATTAAAGCGGAAATAACTTACTTAGAAATAGCAGATTCAGCAGGGGCTTAAGACTGCTTATCATAAGTTAAGTACTTATTATAGCCGGACTTATAATACCCAAGGTAATGTCTTTGCCGTTATAATAATTTTAGATTTATCTTCTAAGCTTAAATATTTTACCACTACTTCTTGAAAGAGAGAAGAAATAAACTAGAAAGCTTATTATTAGAAATAATTTATTAATATCTTTTAGTTTTACAAGAAGAGGCATCCTTATATTACTGTTAATACAGTTCTGTTATATCAGATATCATAATTTAATTAAGTCTGCCAGTATTTTATTAAGAAAAGAAGAATTACTATAATCTGCTAAGATAATTTATTTACTGAAGTTAAGATCTATTTAAATAAGAGTATATTCTTAGTTCACTGCTATATTAAATTCTAACTAAGTTAGAATAGGCACTGTCTCTCAAGATATTTTAGAGTATTGGTATTTAAACTAGTAATAGTTTCCAATACTCTTAATTATAGCCCGCGACTTCTTATCAGTTATAGTGTCAGAAGTTAATATTAAATCTCTTTTTAATACCAGTCATGATATCTGTTACTATTGCCAAAGCTGCCTCAATCCAAAAACTATTCATAGACTTATAATACTTCTTATGGCAGATCACTTTCAGTTAAGGGAAGACTGCCGAATTGAGAAGAAAGAGAGTAATAATATATCAGATATCTATAACTACCTTAAACAACCGGGTGATAAGGATTACTTTGAATATATCAGTGATAGTAATAATTCTGGGGATCCTGAAGAGAATCTGTTTAATCTACTGGATAAGGATTATATTGAAGATAAAGATATCCCTGAAATACCTAATATTCAGTCTTCAACACCAATAGAGAAGGAGCATGCACAGTTCCATAAAGATAATAGTAAAGATAATATATAGGGACTAGAGACTTTAGGCTATTAGCGACAGTCAAGATATAGAGCTCAGGCTATAAATTATTATACTCTTGCCAGTTATTGGATATATAATACCCAATATTAGGCTTTTAATCAGACTTAGTATTTTTCCTTTAGAGTTATATATTCTAACTTAATTAGAATTTTATTTACTTATATCTTTAGTAGCTTCTGCCTTAATATCTGTATTTACACTAAACTACTTTGGTATTAAGAATTAGATACAGTCTGATATATCTCTGCAATTTATATAGTTGGCTGCACTGGCTTGCCGTATATGACCCGTGGGTTAAACCGTCGGCCCGTGGGCCGGGGTAGCCAATAACCCGGCCCGGCATGGACTTTTGTATACACAAACCCAGCCCATTTCTTGGCGGGTTGGGCCGGGTTGGGCCGGGTTTCTTGGGCTGGGCCTAACAAGTCTAATTTAGACCCTTATATATTCAAATCCTTGTGAATCTGTATCTGTCTATATATAATCATATTTGTATCTCTTCATATAAATATATATATTGTTCTCTGGATGGGATTATGGCATATCATATTATATATATATATCAATGGAAATTAATTCTATTGGATAATCTATTATAACAATGGCTGTTTGTTGCACTGCTCCAATACTATATATCTCCCGGGTGACCAATAAAACAATATAATAACAGGTGGTGCTCTTCTAGTATCCTGGCTGTTTCTGCTTTAAACCCTTTCTAATCTGCTTACTATCCTGTATACACTCTGAAATGCCGGTAAACACTGTGGCTAATGACTGTACTGACAGGGCTATGATTAATATATGTATTATTACTAACCTGGCTGGATATAAACCCCATAATATACTTAAATACTCTAATGTTATGTGGCTATCTAACCCTTATGTCTCAACCTCCCATGCCTGGATTCTGTTAACCTGATCAATTCTTTAAATTCTGATATACTGTAAAACCCTAATATACTAACTAATCCTGATATATGATAAATCTTGATAATAATAAACTTCTATCTATTAATCTAAACCATATTAAATATCTTGATATAGTCTCTGGATTATGGAAATAAAAACTGCCCATACTACTATAATCTCTTGGGCTTGATAAATATCTCTTTTATTAACTGATTCCTTTGCTATATATGCCTGCTACTAGATATCGGCACTGCTCTGCTGTTACTGTTCTATAATATAGATAATATAACCCTAATATAATCCATGCTTTGTGGACTGAACAGATCTGAATATCCGGGTGCCGGGCTAGACTGCTTATAAATAGAATAGATTAAATCCTATAAACAGATCTGTAAATATAATAACTAATCTGGGCTATATAAAACTTATTACTAACTATATAATATTAATAACTGATACTATTACTGCTATTTCTATCTCTGCTATTTTTGGCTTTAAAAATCCTAATAATCTATATATAGTTTATTGCTTCTTTAGTAACTACTGAAAATACTGTCTCTATAATAATGTCTTCTGTGTCCTGATCTTTGATATAAACTATTACTGGACCTAGCTAAATAAAAATCCAAATATATTATTAAAAACCTTAATATGGTATAGCTATTTAAATCTTTTTATATCTAAATATATATCTCACTATATAGAATTCAATTCCTGATATATTAATATATATTAATCCTGGGGTAGAATTATAGGATATTATAAAATATATATAGATAAAATTAATCCTATAAAGTAATCTAAAATCATAATGGCTGTTTCTTACGCTGCTCCAACTCCATATATATCTGGTATAACTAATAAAATAATATGAATAACTGGTTATACTAGCCCTGTATTCCCTTGGTGGCCTGTCTAAAAAACTGTGCCACCTGCTGAATATCCTGACTGTCGGTTCTATAGCTGGCTAACTACTGTTGCCATAATGGTTGTATCTACTCAGCCTACAGTCCATATAATATCATGGCTACCATGGATAATAATATATCCTGGTATATATAATCTCTCCCGCCGCTCTGCCATCCCTAGTATATAGACTGGGATATATAATACCAAAAACATGCACTGAATCCAGTAAACTGGATCCTGATCTTATGGATGTCCTGTATCCATTTTTTAGTAATGGCACTCCGGGGTCCCTGACAAAATATTAACTTATACTTATGCTGTTCCCAGCCGGCTATGATATATATATAACACTGCTAGATTCACTGCCCGGCCTCTCCTTCAATAAACTCCTTGTTCAACTGTTACTAGAAATCATGCTTCTACTGCTGGATCTCAGGGGCTGCTTGCCACTGGATCTGCACATGCTGTTGCTGCTATTCCTGGATGCTAACCGGTGCCCTACCATTATGTGATCTCTCCTCCGGGCAGGATAACAGTTCAGGACGGGACATGAGATCTGTACAGCCCATGGTCCGGGGGACGGTCTTGCGATGGGCCCCGGGGGGAATAGTGGGTGGTGGGACCATCCGCAGTAATGGGGCTTTGCTGGGGAAACATGAATGGATCTTATCATCCCCCTCAATTACTGCAGGTGAAACCCTGGATTCCTGCGCTGTCTAATCAGGATTGTATCCATCACACAGGATCTCATCAATATTGACATCCCGGCACTGCTGTTGACAATATCTATCTATAGTCTCATCCAAATATTTATCCAATATATACTGTCAGCATTCCACACCCGCTACCATATCTATATATTCTTGGACTAACTTGTAATGGGCGGCATCCTCAGCCTCAGGAGGCGCGCGGGGGGTTATCCCGGCAGGTTAAATAATAATGGCCTTGCTGCGGTAGCCATTGCGGCCAGCTTGTCTATTCTCCTGCGCATAATCCAACAATGTCCGCGGCATCTCAATATAGATAATACTATAGATATTGGGGATATCTATCTCTATTTCCAATATACTGGTAGCGGCAATCACTGTGGTCTTTTCCTGTATAAACTGGTATAATATAGATAGCTTATCAATCTGCTAGCTGTAATATGCTTCATATCTTAATACCCAGGCAATACCTGTAACGTGGCTTACTACATAGCTATATATAATTACCTTTCCGCTGCCAGCCCGCTAGATCTGGTCCCGGATAAATACTACCACAGATTCAGTCTCAAACCACGCGGCTGCTGGATGGGGGACTATAGGCTGCCATACTTAATATACTATATTAGGACGGCTGGTCTGTACCCGGAACATGCTCACCTACTCCCGGGCATAACCTATCCGACAGAATAATGGGGTCTCTAACCAGGGAGGCAATATAGCGGTTAATAACACTATCTGTATATAGGCATAGTTTAACTGGCCTAACTACTACAACTCAGGCTGGAAATCCTTCTGGTTATTCAATATCATGTGGCACTTATTGATCACAATCCGGTCCAATTACCGGGTCTGCTATAATTAATTAATGAATGTCTGAAAATCCTCGGTCACAGTGGACTCAGGCATGACCAACACAATTATGGCCTTGTCCGGCAGCTGACAGCTCTCCCACAACATACATGATATACCCAATGTCTGGCACTGCCAGATCATATCCTGATACAATGATATCAATAGAATTACTATAATTATCACGCCCCCGGGCTCCGCGAATACAGGTAATATAAACAACATACTCTTGTCCTTCCTGATAGATATCACTGCCACCATGGGGCTCTTATTATCCTGGATTGCCTGTAATGCGGGGGCCTGTATACCGCGGAACTGAATTATCTTGAATCTGGTCATCTGTTACAATGCAGTGCGCATGTCTATAATATTTAATCAGTACTACTATATAGTCCAGTTCTTCTTGGCCTTGTTCTCCCACGGGAATTGCTTGTGCTTGCTGATCCCGGGTCCCAATACTATAGCAGATATGAACCCTAAAAACCAGTGCTAATTGGTACTGGATAATCAAAATATAGCCCAGCGGTGCTTAGTAATACCAGCCTGCTCTATGATGCCGTGCGCGTATACTATCCCCACTAAATATAATGAATATACTGCCTGTAAATTAGCGATATAGCTTATCTACTACTTCTTATCTATACTATTCTCCGCGTCTGTATTTAATGCAGCCGCGGCCAATTTCTGCTTCTCCTGTATATTACTGGCAAACGCGCTGGATAGCTGCATGAACTGCTGGCTGATCTCAATAGCAATGTCCCAGTACACGGTAATATTGATGGCCTGGCCTAACCGCGTGCTGGTCTTGTGCTTCAATATCTTACAGAACCACTCTGATATCTATACCCGCTGTGTGCCAGGATTGGGACCCTATATATATACCTCACGGGCCTTCATGTTTTGGGAATTGGACCTGGGAGATATCTAATGGCGGTACCATGTCTCAAGCTACTGGACAAATAGTAATACTAACCATAAATACTATATAATTAACTCCCCCATCTCCTGCGGTATATATTAGTAGATGATTTTTATATTATTACTGGTATAAAATCTCTTATGATATACAGTAACCAATATGACTATTCTGTCTTTAATATATATATTCTGCTGTCAGTTAGTCTCCATATTGCTGTGCTGGATACTCAATAACTTAGAGGCCCGGCTGGGCTGCCTGGCTACTATATAGATTAATATAGCCAACTTCTTCTTAAACTATATGACCCGGTATAAATATTATATCACTGCGGGGACATGCAATTGCCGGGGCTGGCAGCAGACTATAAACTGCACCTACACGGACAGCTCGGCCTGTACCTGCTGGATCATATATAATTGTCCCACCATGGGCTATAATATACAGGAATCCTGCAAAAAATTCTATCCTGCCTTGCCCTGGGTGGGATCATTGTACAATCCCTGCCACAGGATGGCAGGCATGGTCTCCTGGTACTTTATATATAATAACTTATATAAAATCTCCCGTGTAGCCTCTATTAACCCATGCACCATGCCGCGGAAATTGCCTATCATGAACTGGATATACTGGTACAATAACCGGTCCTGGTGTATCCACATTATATGGCCGGGAGATGTGGTATTGTAATAGATCCGCAATCCAAATATCTGCCAATCCTATAATGTCTGTATGGGACCATAGGTCCCGCAGATCATGAACCACTGTATCATCCACTGTACCTGTTCCTGGAATATCTTTAGACAGGATAGGGCCCCGCTAGGGATATCAGTGATTGCTAGGGGGTCCCTATAAGCTATTAGGAATATAGACAGGAATAATAAAGATATCTACTAGAACTTCTCACTGCTACTGTATTCTTTATTAAAATAAATCTCAGCCAATATATTATTAGTATTATTTAATATCTAATCTATATAACAGCTCTCCTTGTACTATATAGTAATAATCTTCTTAGAATATAGATCTAGCTATAATATCTTTTATATAATCATTATATAGGCGACCTTAATTACCCGGGATAATACAGGGGAATATATCTCGGGAATCTACTATCTATTAGGTTCCTAGCCTAATACTGTTATGGCGTATACTAATATACTCTTATACTTGTGGCTATATAGCTACTGATTTAATAACTTAATATAAAAATCTAAATATATACTCTTGATCTAACTTATTTCTTACAGGATCTTCTCAGGATAGCAGGATTTTATTGGCTCAGAATTAGCTTAGATAACTAACTACTATAACTGCTGTTACTTCTTCTACTGCTGGGATATCATACTGTATAATAGACTCTTCTATATATACAGGGCCTGCGTGCAGGTAATAAATACTATAATCTGCTGCTATAGCTGGATATACTTAATAATACTCTCTGTATCTATATATACCTGCAATAACTGATACAGGGTCTGCCCAGTCTCAGACTGCACTGTCTTAATATAAATAGCCTGGCTACTGTAGTCTATTATCTACTGGCTCTTGTATATTATCTGCTCTATAATATCTCACAACTGGTGGATCCCCTGCTTGACGGGGTCCATGGACTTGGGATTAGGTAGGTCCATACTGTTTAACATATCCTGGAAGGCAATATCCTGTAAATACTGGGTCCATCCAGTTACCTATAACTATAGATTAGTATTAGTGACTTCCACAGCTTGGACAGTCTGCTAGGCTTTCTCTATCTCAGCCTCTTCCTATACAGTCATGATCTTGTCTACTGCTGTATTAATATTGGCCGTATCTATAGGAATTAATAGCTTCTTAGTCCCTGCTGCCTGTATATAGATAAAATGCGATCCGGTCCATATTAGAAATATCTACTGGTATATAATAATGATATATGACTGCTGTAACTCAGTCTCTTGCTGGATATATTACTCCCGGTAAATATAGCTGTCCCGGGGAAACCAGGACTATCTATAGATACTCTGCCAATAGGCCCGCATGCTGTGGACACTGCAGCCAATATACTGACATCAGGGATAATCACACTGGCATAACATGCCATCGGGATATATAGGCAATCCGGATAATGCCTGGTTCATATAGTGGGGAATTATGATAGTATTGGCCTACTAGATAATCCCCTCTTACTGCTGCACGGTGTTATAGATCTGGATGGCATCGGCATATTTTATGCCATAGGTATTATCTTTTAAATGCCGGATGATCTCAGGGGGCCATACACTATGCTGACATAATCAGTAAATAATTATAGAGAACTCTTCCAGTTTTTAAAATAATTAATACTCGCGGGGTTCTATGGCGCGGGATGGTGGATATTATAATGGAAACCCTAATAATACTGGGAATAGGAAATGGGGGAATGGATAGAAATAGGGGATAAATAGAAACAGGAAATCTGGATATATAATATAGGGAATCTGGAATGATTAAATTGGTTAGTAGTCTTAATAGATCCTGATATTATCCCTGATCCTCCACAGGGCAATAATGACTGGTTAACTTTCATGTAAACTTGTCTTTCTGGGATGCCCTAATGTTTTGTGATCGGCTGGGGTTCCAGGAACACATGGATGAAACGCTGGCAGTGATGTGGAATATATGGAATCCTGACTCAGTATGGACTGGACCCTGTTGATTCCTGGATGCTGTGGACGGGAAAATGCTATTGTTCGATATATAATATAATGGCTCGACTGATGGTCTTGCCAGATAATATGATAATGGGTGGTAGGGAATGACCGATCGGCCTGTACCCCAACAAACCCGCAACCATTAATTATAGGCAACTTTTGACCACCACTGCATCCGCAAATCATGGTATAATCATCTCTGAAATGAATGGCAGATAATATTGTATCCTACCAGTAACTGGGCAAAATTTAAAGCCAACTGGCCAATAATTCATTGCTGATATACATGTTTAACATTTCGCTGATATACACGTAAACCCTGAATATGACGGCTTATCAGCACCCGTCTTTTGTGATAACCAGGAGAATATCACCCATGCTTGTGGGCTAGACTTTCTATCCTGCTCAGATATCTTCCTGAATTTATTAAATTCAGGATACTAATAAATCTTGCTATTTTATATATAATATTCTATCTTACTATTAATTTCTTTTATGGGGTTTCTGCTTTATAATCCTATATATATCTGTCTTGTTTTGGATTCTCTTTTTGACTAAAATTAAATCTAATCAGTTCTGTAAAATTCCTTTATCTATACTATCTTGAACCGCTTCTTAAAATCCGCAAATCTCTATAAACCCGGATCAATCTTCCAATACAGATATAAAATAGATATCAGTATATCTTGGAATAATCCTTTACTGCCTATTAATCTCTATAATCTGATAATACTCTTGATCTATACTTTATTCTTAAATATATTATAATCCCAATAACGAAATCCTGATATCAGATTTAATTCTAATTATAAATAATTCTGTAATATTGCGCTAAATAATATTGTATAAATCAGTATATTTCTATACCAGGAAAATCAATTCCTGTATACTATAAAACTGCTATATTTAAATTAATCTAGAATATTAAATACTAATCTTTCTATTCTTGCTAATCTCACTATCTATATATATTAATTAAATCCTAATATTAGATTCTTTCATTGTCTGTTAGTCTCTATTCTCTTACTTAGAAATATTATATTTCAGTCTAATAGCTATATTGTCTTTTCTAATATTCTCTCTTATATAACCCTAATTATGATCTCTGTAACTATTAATTAATTAATTCTTGATAGATTATATTATATCTGAATCTGTATAGAATCTATATAGAATCAGTATCTCTTATTTATCTCTCTATAATACTACAATTCTTCTATAATTCCTGATCCACTAATCCTTTCTGATATCTTCTGGAAATCCTGCTTTAATTCTATTAATCTCTTATATATCTATTATCTTTTGGATACTCTCTCAATTGCTTTAATAGCTATCTAAACTCTACTATATAATTAAAATCTACTGCTCTCTATTTAATTTTTATATATCTATCTAATCCTTATTAATCTAACTCTTATATATCTATTGAACTCTTATATCTTGGTAAACTCTATAATTATTATAAAATCTGTGTATTACTCTTAATCCTTAATTTATTTATTCTGGTCAGTAGAAAATTTATTATCTCCTTATTATTATTGAATTCTTGTAATCCGGTATCTGGTATTTACTTCTGAATATCTTTATAAAATAATTCTTCTTCTACAATTTAATAAATCCAGTATATTGAAATTAAATCTGGATATTATAATAAAATCCTGCTATACTAATTAAATCTTCAGCTTTAATTAAATTTCTAATACTAAATATAATTCCTGTATTTAAATTTAATTTAACTATCTTTATAAAATCTTTCTCTTACTATCAATTGCCTGACCGCTAATTATCTCTGGAATCTTAATATAGAATCTATTGGTCTTGCTATATCTTCAGAATCTAAATTTCTTATTATAGAATCTTCTTTATTGGAATTATAATTATATTACAATTCTTTCTGATATTTATATAATTCTTATTTCTATACTTCTTATTTCTATACTTCTTATTTCTATACTTCTTATTACCTTTATAAACCCTGGTATTCCTATCCTTTGGAATCCAATCCTTAATTATTTAATAAACCTGTATATTTCCACTAATCTGGTCTGGCTAATCCTAATATATCTATTCTTCTCAGTCCCGGCATCTATATATATTGCTTAAATCCTGATACTTTAATAAATCTTATATATTTTAATTGGTTACTAGAAATTAATAGAATTCTATAGATATTATATAGAAAATAATATATATCTCTATATCTATATAGAAATATCTGATCTTTTAGATCTTTTTTTTATAAACCTGAATATCTTCAGAATATTAATATCTAGTATTTCTGGATTAAATTTCATATTCCTCTATGGAATGTC